TAAAGTCCACAATAGCACGATGATTTATTTATCATTTAACAACTAATGTTCTGCTGCAGTTTTTTGACATTTTAAAGCAACTGTCTTATAGGTTGTGTTGCTCTGCCTATAAAGATTAGTTATGTTCTGCCCAGGGTTGCCTATCTCCCTGTTCTTTGATGATCCCTGGGGCACATGTTCCCAGCTAGGTATTTATGTATTTATTTAATGAATATTTAATATAGAACTATTTTTATATAAACAATTTATCGTATTTGAGAATACAGTAAGTTACAAGAAGATGGCATTGAGAGACATGCAATTTAGAAAGCAGAGAAGAAGCACAGTAAGGGAAGAGCAGAGTTTAACCTTATCAAAAGAATTCATAATAAATTTGGTCCATTATTATGTGTCATCATCAACTGCGGTTTCCTGATCTGACATACTGTTTGATAATTGGAGGCCCAGAGAATGATTAACCACATTCATTTTGGCCCAAACCCACTAGAAACTAATGACCAATTAAAACTTTAAGCATACACTCAATTATTCAGAAAAACAAACATCTCATTTCAAATTGATATTATGTGATATCATTATCTGATGATGTGGCTTACTGAGGATATGATGAAAAGCTACACTGTTCTAAAGCGTGAAGGCAGAAGAAAAATATTTGCTGCCCTTACAATTTAGAATTCTAATTTCCCTAATTATAGGCAATTTCAACTCAGAATGCAGTGGGGTTGGCTGACGTTGGATCATGCCACTTGTAACACCGTATAAATGCCAGTCTGTTCAGTGATCTGATGTTTAATTTACGTGACCTGAGAAGCTGAAAGTATATTAATGCAAATTCTAGATGTTCCTCTCACCCAACTCTACCTGAAGAATGTAAGTGTGGGAAAAGGGGTGGGCTGCTATCTCTCGAATGAATTTGATAATCCAATAAATACTTGCAGATGCACACACAGAAGATGAGATCTCTACTTCACAAAGAAAATATTGAACAAAATGGGCTTATAGAATTGGTGGATCTTTATAATAATGGATGTCCTGACTTTGTTAATTCCTACTGCTGATTAGCTATCATAAGAAAAAGCACATGACCAGCCAAGAACTGATAGCTCCAATTTTTCTTCACTATATGACAGCATATACATATGCATGTATGCTCACACACACACAAACACACATCTATATATGTATATAGCTTCTCACCAACTACTTCCATTCATGTGTTTTTAACAGAATATGGAATTGGCGGCTGTTGCCACAGCTTGCTACAGATACAAAGAAATCACGATTCTTTAAAAGTCAAAACTTTCAGGATTTTGCTGAGCTGTTCTTATTTATTTATTAAATGTGTTTTTTTTGTCATAAGGTAACCATTTGGCCCATCGAGGCAGCTGCCTCAGACAGTAGATGTTAGGAAAAGGAACTGGGAAACATTGGAAGTCAGGACTGATTAAAATACAGGGCTAGTTTCAGATTTGTACAACTAGACTGCTGTCCTTGGATATAGGGCTGAAAGTTGTTTGATTACCAGTAATTGAATAAGATTTAATTCTTCAGTGGAAGGGTGGGAATTGGTGTTGGCCTATTGCCTCAGAAAGCAAATCATTTTGGGCTATGCTGCTTTGCAAAAATCACAGGCTGAGCTGGTAAGTGATTGATTATCAAGTCCCTGAAAATTAAATAGTTTATATTGAGGGAAATGGAACAAATGTTATTTATTAGCCATACAACAAAAACACTATCCTGAAATTATTCTAATGAATTTGAATGTGACCAGGCCATAACTGGTTCATTAAACCCAGTATTACTATATACATTTTTCCCATGGTAGCTATTCTTTTTCATTTTTGAAGGCACAAATGTTGCGTCAGAAGTTGGGTTTAGATAATCTGTGAATCCATTAATCTTCAGGAGACCCCAGAACTGTTTGGTTATCTACCAGAATATAAGTAAAGTATAAACACCAGGCTTATGAAAAAGTAATCTCGTAATTCTTAGTGAGGAGGCATCTAAGAGGAGAAATCCAGCATAATAGCATCATAAAATCCATACAGCATTGTACTGCAAACCTTTGGGAATGTATGCGCAGTGTTGCAAACATACATGGCAAAGGGGAAGGATTTGCACTGTGATGCTATTTGTGCCACCCTGATTGCCTTTACAACATGCTAATGCACACACGATCCAAATGTACCATGGTGTGAACATCTATGACAGGAACCTTCATTTTGAGATATTTAGAAGCAACATGGAGATGCAGAGAATGCCTTTAGACTTTCCGGTCAGACAGTTGGAAAGAAACTATGAAAAGAGAGTCAGACTTCTGTTTGCATGTCTGCCTGTGTGTCAGCAGGATAGAAGTAGTCTTTGACTTAAAACATTATGATCCTAAGTTGAGATGGTGAGATGCTGATAAAGTGGGCCATCATGTGACTGAACTGGTTTTATAAGCTTTTTTACTACATCAATTAAGTGAATCACCATAATCATTAAATGAATCCATGGTAGTTAAGCAAACAAAATTGTTATTAAGTCAATCCATTGTTTGCTATGGGATGCTTTTGCTGAAAATTGGACATTTTTGGTAAAAACATCATAAATTGTGGTCATTGACCATGCAGTAAATGCAGGCCAGTTGCCAAATACCCAAAACATGATCACATGACTTCAAGGGTGGGGGCAATTGGCCATCGAAACTTTAGAACTGGGTCATAAATACCTTTTGGGGAGGGGGGGGGAGTCTGTTGTAACTTTGATTGGTTGCTAAGCAGCTGGTCGTAATTCAAGGACTACCTGTAATTGTCTGAAAATCAAACAGAACAGGACCACATTCAGTGTGTGGGAGAAGGCAAAGACAAAGATTACATTTGAAAGTGGTCCAGATCAGGATGGGAGAATTTTTTTTTGCCAGAAAAAGTTTCCCAATGCATTCCCCCAGGTGAGACAGCTTGAAATGTTGAGGACTGCTTCATTCTAACTACTCTAGTCATGTGACTCAGAGCCTCTTGGTGCTTCTCAGTGCACCTAAGTGCAATTGGAGGGAGACCTGAAACACAGTTACGTGTGCAACACATTCCTTCTTTTCACGGAAGAAACTATATTAGCCAATGCTTGTAAGAGGGACGGTGAAAGATTCCTTAGTATTTATAAGCTTTTGTTCATATAGGCATTTGCACAAATTCTGAAAACCAAAGCCAAACGTGCAACCTAAATGGTGGTTGCCACTTTAAGCAGATACAAACAAATCTCTAGCTAGCGCAAGACCATCCACTTGACACAGGTTAGACAGGGATACACGTTCACAGTTCCCTCTTTGAGTACTGTGCAGCATTCTTGGTGGCAAGCGAACATGAAAATTTTTCTTTTATTTTGGAGCCATTCAGCACTTGATATAATTCAGGGTTGACATCATTCAGGTCAAATAAATTGTTCAGATGGAAGCAAAGGAGAAAATGGCTCTTCTACAGACTTAGTAACCTCGGGGCCAGTTGGTTGTGAATAGCAGCACACAAGAACATTTGTCTCTGCTTGATTAAGCAACTCCGAAGATTACAAATTGGGATGGTTTATGTACCATCGTCAGTTTGTGTCACATACTTCTGGTTGTGACTAACTTATGAGAAAGCAAGCTTGCTGGGAAATCCTGGGAGCTGAAGTCCACACATCTTAAATTTGCCAAGTTTGAGAAACACAGCCTCAGAGTCTTACTCGCTTTTCCTATAATAGGCTGGGGTCTTTCATTTACTCTTTATTGGTGGCCAAAACTGTGGTTTTGACTTTTTTTTATTTTGTTAAACCACCGACTCTTCCTAAAGCAAATAGAGAGGTGGCTGGGTGGGGAGAAACAGAACAAAAAACAAAGAGATCATATAAGCCACAAAATTTGCACAATACATAAAAACTCAATCCCATGTGACATGAAGATGAGTGCCACAAACATACTAGATGATAAAATATAAAATGAAAAGTACAGGTGAAAAATTCCAGAAATTATTTCAATCTTCTGTAATCTGGTAACAGCTCCTACCTGAAAAAAAAAAGGTTTCAGCAACTCTTTGTGTTTCCCAGCTGTGGCAAAACTGCTTTCTAATTTCCTTGGCATTCACTTGGAAACTTCAATAATCTCACCCACCATACTGTAAAAGGAAGGTGGTCTCATGTGATGCAGCCATTTATACCTGTTGGTGGTCCCAAGGAATGATTTGGAAGTGTGTGGCTGCCATTGTGTCTTGCCCCATTCATATGGAGGTTGCTACATTTGTGTGTATGTTAATACTGCAATTCTGATCTTGTGAACTGGGAAAGAAGAGAGTCTTGTAATTGTCACAAGACTAATTAATCAGAGCCAGTGAATTAGTCCTCGCAGTTGCAAACAAGGAGAACAATTTCCTTCTGTTTCTTCCACAATGTTTCCCTGCCAAAATGCTGTGTATCTGTATTCATCCTTAAAAATAATTGCATGTCTTTCACCTTCAGCTTTCTCCCCTTTGCTATTGCAGCCATAGTCATCTGTTCAGATTTCAGGAATGTCCCAGGTTTCAGTAAAGTGCTATAATGTGTGGTTGGTAGGAATGACTGAACAAAATCATCTTTACTTTTACCTTCAGTTAAACTAAGTAAAGGATTTTTAAGTTTGCACTCACTGACCAACTTTCCAGAGTTAATGAAGACCAATGGTACGTGTGCAGACTATATCAGAATCAATAGAAACTAGCAAATGTAATTCATTTTCATTGCCAAACCACTTTCCTCCACCCAAATTAAAGGTCTGTGTTGAATGCTGGAACAACACCCAAGGGCCAAATTAGGTGTAGAAGGATTTTCCATGCTCTTTGGAGGAAATATAGTTGCATGAAGAGCAATTTGATGGTAATGGTGGTGGTGGGAAGCTCTTAGTCAGGCAACCACAGACAAAGTGAAGAAGCCAAAAAAGACTCCAGCAAACATGGCCTGACTGAAAACAGAATTTAGCTAATGCTTTATTTGCAAGCCAAGCTTTGGTCGCTGTAGTGATACAGAGGCTTAGACCAATGGATGTTCATGGTGATAGAAGGGAGCATTTCTGAAAGATCTCCAAGCCCAATCAAGCTTTTTGTACAACAATCTTGGTCCTGAAAGGAATAGACTTTCAGAATTATAACACTGTCTCCTTTTCAGCAGTAATAGTTAAGTAACATAAAAAAATGAATTATGAGTGTATAATTGCATCACAGGAAGTTTGATTGCAAAAAAAATCACATAGTACTTACTCTGCATGTTTCACCTTCTCAAGGCTAGAGCCTCATTTGTGGTGGTCCAATCAATATGTGCTATTGGGCATCCTCTCCATTTTAATTTTCCATATTATCTCTGACATGGTGTTAGAGGACTATGTACACTTAAAAAGATAATTATAAAAAGTGTTTCAGACTGAGTGAGTGCAGTTCCTCTGTGCCCTTCATTAAAGAAGCCCAATGTTTTATCAGGTTTTCATGAGATCCTAAAAGAAAAAATTGCTCCCACTTTAAAGAATCTGTCCATTAAAGTTAATAAGACTTTTGAAGACATCACACACCCAAACACATGCAGAGCATATAAGTGTTCCATGATCTGGAAAATTTTAAAAGGTGCTGTTCTACTCAGTTTCATAGGCAACATTATCAACAAACTCCTGCTTAACCCTTGTCAGTTTCACAATCGTGGTAAAACAAAGGCAAACTGATTCTCCCTTATCAGCAAATTTGATCTTAATTCATATAGTCAGTTTCACAATTGCTGTAACATATCCAGCTACATTTCCCCTCATTATCTCACCAGTTCTTATCAGCAAACCTGATCTTAACCTTTCTAGTCAGTTTCTAGTCAGATTCTCAATCCATGTAAAAGTTCCTGGCTTGGATTTCCAATCTCTTGCCTTACCTCACTTCCTAGTCCTTGGCCTTCAGCTATACATTGCTTTCTTCCCCAAGCAAGGTTCATGTATACTGCAACTTACAGTGATGGTTGCACTGTTAGAACATGACTAGTTGCAAACGTACAATATCATGTCATCAGCATTTACTTCACGAGGAAGTTATCTGCAAGAAATATGATGTCTTGATAGCTAAATACCCTCTCCTTTTTTTAGTTGCTTCTGCAAAAGTCCTAATTATTTGCCTTTTCTATGTCATGAAGAATAGGGAGATTGTTGTTACTCCATAGCTCAGAGGATGGGGTACGGACTAACTGTTTTTAAAATAATAATAGTAATCTCCTATTAGTTAGGTGGAAGAAGCTTAATGCTGTGTTTGCTGGTTCTCACCATTCCAAGTTTGGCAGGGATAGAGATGACCAGGTGTAGTGCACTGAGAAACGTCTCCAGGATTATTACTTCCTAGTAGTAAGCTATTTGAACCCAGTGAACAATCCTTGCTTTCTAACCCAACTTCCAGTAGGAAATCCTCCACTTCCTCTCCTTTCCTAGCTTATTTCCCCAGCTGTCTCTTTGCACCTGCTCAACACAACTTACTCTTCCAGGACTTCTCAATCAATTAGCTACCTTTGGTACCTACTTTGCCTGCTAAAATTCCTTTTCCCATCACATCCTTGGCTTCAACAAATTCCAACCATCTTTATAAGCTTTAACCTTATTTCCAGTGCACTAAGAAATATGGCTTTCTTTTCAATACTTCCCAATTTACAACATCTTCACATGCCTCTTTCAACTTTTAAGGACTCCTTCTCCCACATCTTTATCCAATGCTTATTATTATTTTTTGTTATTTAAATGGAAAAGCAGTTTGAGGTTTTTAAAAATAGGGAGCAGAATATCAATATCTTAACAAGATTGAATGAAGAGGACGAAAAAGGAAGAGAAGGAAGAAGAAAACAATATATTTAGAAGTGCTGGAAATTCTCACTATTTTGTATACCACCAAATAAAAATAAAGGCCAATAGAAATGATTAACATTTGTTTATAAGGTCACCAGGACTCAAAATGACTCATTGGCTTCTAATTATTAATATTAAGTTCATTTAAATTTCTACTTAGGAGTCGTGGTGACACAGTGGTTAGAATTCAGTATCGCAGACTTAATTCTGTTGACTGCCAGGAGTTCAATCCTCACCAGCTCAAGGCTGACTCAGCTTTCCATCCTTCTGAGGTTGGTAAAATGAGGACCCAGATTGTTGGGGATAATATGCTGAGTCTGTACACCACTTAGACTTATATACCACTTCATAGTGCTTCACAGCACTGTCTAAGTAAGTGCTATTGCTATTGCTACTTGTTCTTTAAAAGCCAGCAGATTGTTCAACACTTCATATTTACACAACATAACTGTAAAGGTTTTGTGGAATCTCTTAGGTTGTTATGGATTTAGAAATAATATTTCTCCAGCTAGTTTGTACTGCTGTTTCAAAGCAATGTCCAATGTGGAAGAATATGGCCAAGCAGAAATTGGAAAGGTACAGCTATGCTAATCAATAACAAAAGTGCCAATTGACAGAATTACGCCTGATACATATATATGATGAAAATTTTTATCAACCACTGCAAGTTTGTAGTTTTGAAATTATATAGAATACTGTATAGTTGATATACCATAGAATTTCATTCATCAATTTCTTAAATTCCTGATGATTTTCAAAAGCCAGTTTGCAATGAAACAAAATGAAAGTGGAATAGAAGTATAGTTTCATTATATTGTATATCAGGGGTGTCAAACTCAATTTCATTGAGGGCTGCATCAGCACTGCAGTTGCCCTAAGGGCCCATGGGGGTGTGGCCAGGGTGGGTGTGACCTACTGGGTGGGCGTGGATAGAGTGGGTGTGGCCTGCTGGGTGGGTGTGGCCAGCTCTACATCGTTCGCATCAAGGGTGCCTGTGGGGGCCTGGGCAGGAGTGGGATAGATCTGAGGGTCTCTGGCAGAAGGGGATGGGACCAGGGCAAGTGCCAAGGCATGGTCCACTGGAGGAGCCTCACTGTTCCTCTCAGGCCATGCAGGGGGGGGGGCTTATGGAGCTAAGACTGAATGCGTTTCAGCATAGATGGCCACCACAAATTTGTACATTGGCTCCCGGCTGGCCTGGGCCAGGGCCAAGGCAGTGGGGGCCGTTCCCTCACTGTTTCCAGGATGGCTTCGCGGGCCACATGAAAACACTTCGCGGGCCACATCCGGCCCCCGGGCCTTGTGTTTGACATGTCTGTTGTATATGTATCAGAAATCCAGCCAATGTATCATTTGAAAGTTGATAGTTTGAAGATCTATGGCAATATTTCTCAGCCTTAGCAACTTTAAGATATGTGGATTTCAGCTTCCAGAATTCCCCACCAGCCATTAAAGTTGCTAAGGTTGAGAAACACTGATCTACAGTATGGAATTAATGTTTGCACAAGATGTTGAGTATACTGTAAGAGGATCATCAATGTCTTTACAATTTACTCAGTTGCATTTTGAGGGTTCGGTTTCCAATTTATAATGCCTTGTTAAATGAGAAATAGATATTGGAATGATTTTAGTATTATAATTTTAAACCAAAAGATTGTTTTTAAAATTATGGAATATACAAAAGCTTTCCCTCCCATTTGTGCATTTGAATATTTGCAGCTGCCTTCTATACTCCCTCACATTGTGAGCTCTTGTAGATAAGTGATTTCAAACAAAAATGCTTCCTTTTCATATTGAAATTCTTTCAGCAAATGATGCCAGGGATTACGCATGGGGCTTTGTTTTCAAGTCCATCCTTGCATCCTCCCAAACATGATATTCCATTGATGTGGTTACATTTTTCTTTAGAAGTATATATAGAACCAAACATGGCAATATGATTATTATCAGGAAATATAAATCCATGGGAATGTTTTATGAATATAAAAATTTCATACAAATCAAGTGAGCAATAGCATTCTCTTAGCACTTGTCATACACATATGTTTACAACTCTTATGAGAAACACCAGAGGGATCTGGGTGGGTTTAGCTTTGGGAAGATATGACCGAAAGGAGATATAACAACACTTTGTAATTTGCTGAAAGGATACTACACCAAAGACCCATTTTCTGTTGTTCCGAACTGCAGGGCAAGGAAAAATAATTATATTTTAGAAGGCAGGAAGGAAGGTTCTGTTTGAACATTAGAACAAGTGAAAGTGTAGTCAAATACCTGAGAAGTGATGGCTCCCTTTTACAGAATGTGTTCAAGATAGTTGTTTGGTTTCCTGCATGAAGCAGTGGATTACATTGGATGGCTTCAATAGCCTTCCTGTTCTTTGGATGGACAAATGATTATTGCACAATTGAGGAAATTCAGGCTGGCACACAACTAAAGAAGGAAAAAAAATCTGTTACTTTTGTCACAATTGATGTTTTTGGAGATACAAATGAAGAAAGGCATCTTTGCTGGGGATAGAAGTCCTACATTCCTTTGATCTGCTGGTCCTTACAGTATGTTTCCATGCAACTTCTTAGACTCTTGCTGATTTGCTGAAAAGTGGTCGTCTACTATGTTCTGAGCTAATTGTATTATCTCAGAAATAACTAGCACCATCAGGAAATTATGCCTAATACATATTTAAATATTTTTCTTGTGAATTGAATGCAAGGATTTGAGATGTCCTCTCTGAAGCAACAGAAAATATATACAAAAACACACTGACAGAGCGAACACAAGAAAAACACAGTCCTCCTCTGGATTCAGCACCTTAATGTTGGGTAAAAATTTAAACTTGGATGAGGGCACTGAATCCATATCCAGCTCCTTGTTTAATGCAGGAATCCAAATTAAAGTATCCCTCCCAAATGGCATGAAGAATCCCTTCCCTGTTAAATTTCATTCTGAACTATAGGTTGAACTTAAATGGCCTCTGAAGTCCATGTTTCTGTGATTCTGAGCCTTTCAGCCTTCCTGGTAGTTCTCTGTGTTCTTTTGTGACCTGGCTATTTATTTCTTGTATGTCCTTTTTGGTTTCAGATTTTCCTAAACCTTTTATGTAGCCACACTGACTTTTTGTAATGTTGTCCATTTTATTGGAGTTGCTTGCATTTGTGCTTTTAGTATCTCCTTTAGGAATTCTTACCCATCTTGAACTCATATTCCATTAGTTTCTCCATCCATAATACCCTGCTATTACTGGTCTTGATTTATTAAAATTTGCTGTTTTTTCTCTTAAAAAAATCAAAACCAGCATCGTTCCAGACACGTTCCCCCAAGTGTTCCTGCAACTTCCACTCCCTCAGCTAAGTTTTTCTTGTTAATATCAAGTCAAAGATAACTAAATCATCTTACATCTTCGTCTATCCCCTGAAGGAGAAAGTTGTCCTAGAACAGTGGTTCTCAACCTGTGGGTCGGGACCCCATTTGGGGTTGATCGACCATTTCATGGGGGTCGCCAAGCAAGGCTGTCCGCCATTTTTTTTGTCCACCATTTTTTTTGTCCGCCATTTTTCCCCTTTTCCGGTGGGTACGTTACCTCCCTTGGGCTGGGTCAGCTGGTGGTTGGCCTGCTCCGTCTCTGCCGCTTGCCAGCTACGCCTCTGCCGGCGCAGGGGGCGGAACCATGCATGCGTGGCGCTCCCGGGCAGGGAAAGTCCTCGACTTACGACCGGTTGGGTAGTCCTCGACTTACGACCGGTTTAGTCCTCGACTTACGACCGGTTGGGGTCGCGGCATTAAAAAGGTTGAGAACCACTGTCCTAGAAGGACTATGCTTGGCAGAATTTGTCTCCTAACAGATGTTCACTATGATTTTAATGCCTTGTTGAATTTGCAATTTGATTGGATGGGTGATAGTAGACATTACCAACAGTATTGCTTTTATTTCCCCCCCCCCGAACTTATTTTAACCTAGATGCCTTTTATAGCATTGCCAAGTTCACTTATTTGATTTCTGAGCAGGATCATTTGAAGATAGCATGCAACTCCTCCTTCCTTTTTATTGCTTCTGTTCCTTTGGGACAAACTGTAACCTTCATTTATGGTTCCTTTATTTCAGCCATTCCACCCATTA